AAAAAAAAAAAAAAAAAAAAAAAAAAAAAAAAAAAAAAAAAAAAAAGGAATATATATATATATATATATATAAGACGGAATTATATTAAATCTATATTCATATACAGATATAAAATTTATATTGAATAAAAGAATAAAACTTTATATTAATTTAAAGATGAATGCTTCCATACAAATTCTATTTATATATTTTAATTAAGAAATGAATATAGACAAAATGATAAATAATAAATAGGAATGAATAAAAATAAAATAAATGTTGTGAAAAAGAAAAATATATATAGAAAATAATAATGTATATCTAAAATAATATTTTATTATTTTTTTAAATTCATAAATATAAATTATAAGATGTATTCCCAATAAATCTTATAAATGCGTATATATATCTCTATATATTTAAATATCGGAAATATTTAAGCTATCTATAATTTAAAAAAAAAAAAAAAAAAAAAAAAAAAATAATGAAATGAAAAAATTTGTTAGAATTAATATTATTATTATTGAAATTTATTGGAAGTATGAAAGAAAATATCAAAAAAATTAAAAATGATAAATATAAGAAATGAATAACTTAATAATTATATAGAATATAAAATTATATATAAAAAATAAAATAAAATGAAAATAGTAAATATTTATTAATCAAAATACTTAGTCATTAAATGGTTAAAAATATTATTATGTTTGTATAATTATTAATCAATTCGAAATAAACATAGAAGAATAGAAAAAAAAAAAAAATGTATATTTATATTATAATATATTTTTCCAATTTTATATATATATTTTTTATTTTAATAAATATATTTTTAAATGAATATATTCATTGTTTTATTTTTTTTCCAATTAATTTCATTAAATATATATATATATATATAAATATTATTTATAATATTGAATAAAAAAGAAAACTATAAATTATAAAAAATTATTAAAAGAACATTAAAATTAATAATAATAAAAAGAAAAAAAATATATATATAACATCATAATTTTTATAATAATAATATTTTTTATTAAAATAAAAAGTTATATAAAAAATAGTAGTTATATATATAAAAATAAATAGAAAAAAAAAAGCTACAAAAAAAAGATATTAATATAAGAAATAAATTATTTTAATTTACTTGATAAATTGTTATTTTATTTTAAAAAATATATAATCATAATTCAATTTTATATACTATAAATATTAATATATTCTTTAGATTAATTCTTTTTTTTTTTTTAAGTACTCCTATTCTTAGAAATATCTACAGATAATTTTAACTATTCATGAAAGAAAAATAACTTAATGGAAAAAAAATAAAAAAAAAAAAAAAATAAAAAATTCAAAATAATATATAATTAAAAAAATATAAATTATTATTTTTTTTTTTTTATTAATAATAAATAATGGACAAAATTGTTAAAAGACAAAAATTATAAAAAAACATATAAAAGAATCATATTAATATGTTTCTTTTATTTAATTATATATTCATATACTCTTATTTACATTTATATATATATACATATATATGTATGTGCATATTTAAGCACATATACACATATATGTATATATATATAAACTTTTAATATATATGTATATATATATATTAGATAAAAAAAACGTTTGTTTTTTTTTTTGCTTTTTCTCAAAATTTAACTTCTTCTATTAATTTATATATTACTATAACAAAAGAAAAAGAGAAAAAAAAAAAAAAAAAAAAAAAAAAANNTAAAAAAAAAAAAAAAAAAAAAAAAAAAAAAGTAATGCTTTAAAAAAAAAAGAAAATTATATACTTTTTTTTCTTTTTCTTCTTTAAAACATCAATTTGTTAAAACAATTCTATAATAAAATCACTATAAAAGAAAATGAAACGGATATAAAAAGGATTTATAATGAAAAAATAAATATAAAAATAAAATTATAATAAGAAGAAAAAATTAAATTACAAATTAATTTATGTAAATTCAATTTTAACTTAAAATGAATAATACTATTTTAATATAAAAATATTCTTCAAAATAAACTACTTTAAGATTAAGAAAAGCTCATTAAATATCAAGATAATATATAGTATTATATTTGGAACAATGAAATTAATTATATATATCTACAAAATGTTTTGTTTCGGCTTAGAATAATATTTAAAATAAAAAAAAAAAAAAAAAAAAAAAAAAAAAAAAATTTTATATGCTAAGAATTTCACAATTCTAGAATTTTGGCAAAAACTTTTTTTCCAAATAATGTTTCTTTATTTAGATTAAAAAATATGCATGCAAGATACCGAAAAAAAAAAAAAAAGAATTAAAAAAAAAAAAAAAAAAAAANTAAAAAAAAAAAAAAAAAAAACAACAACGATTTAATTCAATGTTTTTGAAATATTTTTATAATAAAATTTGATGTGGTAATAAAATTAAAAAAGCAATTTATAAAAATTAAAACATAGGTATTTTATTTTTTTTAAGTGGAGGAAACAATTGATATATTTTTATATATATAAATTTTAGAAATAAAAGATTCTTTATAAAAATAAAATATACACACATATATTAAAAATAGAATTAAAAAATAAAAAAAAAAAAAAAAAAAAAAAAAAAAAAGTATATATATATATATATGAATAAACATAAAAATATACTAATAAAAGAAATGTAACTTATTTTTAAAATAGAAATAATAAATAAAATTTAAAATATGCTGTTATATAATAGTTGATCTAATAACAATAATGCATATAACGATATCTTTTTTAATAAATTTTTTGTTGATAATTAAAAAAGCATGTTCATTTATAAAAATTATATCTAGTTATTAAAAGAAAAAGTATGTATTTTTATAAAAGCGAAAAAATAAATTATGCACCAAAGATTATTAAATGCATATATGATAAAATATTTTTTATAATAATTGAATACTAAAAGTATTTTTCATTTATTTTTAAAAATAAAACTAAACTTTTATTTTTTTTTTTATTAGATTCTTTCTCCTTTTATTAGAAAGACTGCATTCATATATTTAGATTTTTATTTATTTTCTTTAAATAATATTGTAATTATATATAAAAAAAATTCTGAAAATAAAAATTATAATTAAACTAATTCTAGAATTAACTAAAATATAAAAGAATATATTGTAAAAAATTAAATTTTATTTTTAATTATTACATATTTTGTTTACAATTATTTTAAAAAAAAAATATAACAGTTGCATATTATATACAAAAAAAATATCATTTTTATAGAGCAAAAATATAAATTTTTATTATTTACTACCATTAAATATATGTAAGTATATATATATATTTATAAGAATATTATATTTTATCGGTGTATAAAATGGATAGATATTATTTAATAAAATTATCAATAGCATATTTTATTTTTTTTTTAATTCTATTTTATATTTTTTAATTATATATTTCAATGAAAAATTTAAGCACTAAAAATATATTTAATAGTAATTTGAATGAAAAAAAAAAAAAAAAAAAAAAAAAAAAAATAAAAAAAANAAAAAAAAAAAAAAAAAAAAAAAAGAATATATATAATTACCTAAAATAATTAAAATAAAGAATAGTGCTAATTCTAAGCATAAAAAAAAAAAAAAAAAAAAATAATAAAAAAAGAAATATAAGAAATATAAGAAATAATTATTATAAATAAGAATAAATTATATATATATATATATATATATATATATATATTTTATTTTTTTAGTTTAATAATATTTTAAATATAAACATATTAAAAAATATATATATATATATGTATATAAAAATATCTTCTTACATGTAAAAATGTAGGAAAGAGAGAAAAAATAAAAATATAAAATAAACCATAAAAAAAAAGTTATTATTATGAAAAACTAAATAAAAAGCATAGATAAGCTTTTTTCTTTTTTTTTTTTTATAGACATTCAAATTGAATAAAAGAACTAATTTCTAACAAAAGAAAAATATAAAAAAATATAGGTTACATGTTAAGTATTATAATTTTAAAATTTTTACAACACTGCAATTTGAATAATTAAAATTCTTTTTACAAATAATTCTTAAATATTTAAATATTTTGAAAAAATATATCATTTTTACTTGCAACTTTTTATGTTATATTATTTTGAAAAGAATTATTATTTATAGAAAAGTATGAATGAATTATAATGAAGAATCAAAATTTAAAAGGGATTATTTTTTTTTCCTATATTTAGCAAAATAATTAATATATTGAAGAACAAATATTAATGAGAAAAAAAAAGAAAAAAGTTTTCAAATAAATAAAAATAATTAAGATTCTTTTAGATTTTATATTTTTCATATTTTGTATGTTTAGAACAAGTTTTATAAAATTTTTTTTTTTTTTTGTTCTACATGTTATATAGGAATTCCTTAATAATGTATAATATATATAGAATAGATAAAAAATTATATTGAAAATTATTCAATTTTTAAAAATAATAAAAAAAAAAAAATATATAAATAAATAAATATATATATAAAAGAATAAAAAACGTACTTCAAACTGTTATTTATTTGAAATTTTCAACATATTAATGATATAAATAATGCTATTGATAAAATATATGTCAAATAAATTATTATATAAATATAGTGAATAATTTATTTAATGCATAAATTTTTTTTAAGAAAACAATTTATTAAATTAATATGTAAAACAAATTTATTTAAATTTTTGTAGATAAAAAAAAAAAAAAAAAAAAAAAAAAAAAAAACCTTCACAGTTATATAGTTTTTTATTTTTTTATTTTTACGTAATATATATATATATTGCATATAATATGATATAAAATAGGAATAAATTGAGAAAATATATTTTTTTAAATATTTATATATTTAAATTTTTTTTTTTTTTAAATTTAAAAGAATTTATTAGACAAAAATTATATATTTGTATGCATTAATAAAAGAGTTTATGTAAGCATATGTAAATGTTCAAGATTCAAAATTGTTGAAGTTATCTTTTTTACTTATTTTAGTTTTTTTTCTTTTTCACATTTTTATGTGCAGTATGTTGCGAAATCTGTTGAATTTTGGTTATTATATTTGAATGTTTCACTGTTATTAATAGAATTTTGTAAAGTAAGGTCGTGATTATTATTAACACTTAATGTTTCATTATCGTCATTATTATTTTTATCTTTTAATGAAATAGTTTGATGAAAATAAGTATTTTCACGAGCATATATTATTTGTTGTATATCATTAATTGATAAAAAACTTTCATTAGTTTGATTACATAAGAGTTCTAAGAATCTTAATTTATTATAGTAGAAATTTTTTTGAAAAAGAAGAATTTTCTTTTCATTTTCTTCTTCTTGTAATTTATTTTGTAATATATATATTTCTTGATTCATGTTTTCTAACTGTAATTTTAATTTTTTATTTTGTTCAATTAAAGAGATATTATCTTTTTGCAAATCAGAATTATTACATTTAGTATAATAAGAGGAAAGTGAACCTTGAGATGAAAATTTATTTGGAACAGATAATCTTTTATTTAAATTATCATTATTTATTGTATTTTGTTTTTTTGGTACATATTCTTCTCTATAAGTCATTGAATTTAAATTATTCTCATTTTCAATATTTAATAAAATGTTTCTTTTTTCTCCTTTTACATCCTTTTTGTTATTATAACTGTTACTATTATTTTTATTGTTTTCTTGATTAACACTACATCTAGAATCTATTTTTTTTTTTTGCGTATTGTTTAACATTCTGTTTTCGTTATAAATATTCTTCTCCTTTATAATATTTAAGTCAACTTTAGCCCATTCGGGTAAGTAGCTATTTAATAATTTATAATCTCCTTTTTCTCCTAATATACACATTTTTCTTCTTTCTATAGCATCATAATTAATAATTTGTTCATTATTATAATCAATAATTCTTTCATAAAATGCTTTAAACCATTGAAGAAATTCTAAGTTATCTTGATACTTTCCTTTAATTAATTTATCTACATCCATATATTTTTTTATACCAAGCTTATTAAAAACATTTTGTATTAATTTATAATTTATTATACATTCATATTCTAATTTTGCATTCCATTTTGCCTTATGTAATACTGATTTATTAGGGAACAATATATCTAATAATTGAATATAAATAGCACCATTAGAACATTGTTCAATTTTTGTTATATTTAATTTTAAACATCTATTTATCCAATCAATTAACTCTTTTCTACTTACGAAAAAAGCCACATCCATATTTCCTACTGCATTTAATCCTTTACTTTCAATCATTATTCATAAGACTATATTTTTTTTCATTCTATTTTAAAATTTGCTTTTTATTTTTTTTATTAGCAAATATACATATATGTATATTATACTCAAAACTTTAAAAAAATATTATTAATAGTATTATTTATTTTTTCTCTTTTTATCTTTTTTTTTGATATATTTTTCATTGAATTTTATTCCTATATTCTATATAGGACATTTTTTTTTTTTTTTCTATATCTTCAATTTTTCATTGAATAAATATATATATATATATATGTTTAAATATTTTATTTATCATATTCTTATTAAGAAAAAGATTGAAAAATTAAAAATTTTATTCATCTTAAGAGATAATATTAAAGATTTAATGAATTAATTGAATGTTAAAAAAAAAAACAAAATAAAAATTTAATATCCCTTTTTCCTATATATACATATATATATATATATACATATGTTTTAAATAGGCTATTATATTTTATTAAAAAACAAAATTAAAACATATATCTTTTTGTGTGCAAATGAAATAGAAAAAAAAAAAAAAATAAATTTAAATAATACTATTATGAACAATATTTCTCATGTGTTAAAATTTCACATATAGACAAATATAAGAATAAATATAAATATTATTAATTTATAATTGTATAGAAAATATATTGATATTTAAAAAAGAGTGGTATTAAAATCTTTTATATTCTTTCTATAAAAAAAAGGAAAATATTTTTTTATTTTAACCTCTTTTTTACTTCATTTTTTCATTATTTAAATTTAAGAATATAAACGAAAATTTTTTTTTATTATTTTTGTAAAAACTGAGATGTATTTTTTTTAGAAAATATTTTACAAAAAATAAATTAAAAAATGTAGTACAAAAAAAGACTTCCTGAAATATTTATGTTTTCATATATGTTAAAAATAATAAAATATTGTTGATATTGTAATTTTACTAAATTATAACAATAAAATAATTGTTCATAAAATATAATAAATAGCAATCGACAATTATTTCTTTTTCTTTCCTATAAAAAATGTTAATTTTTTCTCCATAGGATTTTATATATATAGAGGCATTATGGTTATTTTAATTATGTTAGTTTGAATATTAAATTCATAGGAAGGAAAATGTTTTATCTTAAAAAAAAAATTACCATACATATATTTTTCATAGATTTCTTATAAAAATATAAAGTTATTAGTAAAAATTTATTTCATACTTTATTATAAAATTTGATTATGTTTTATATCTAAAGATTATGAGATCAAACATTTTATATTACAGTGCTATTTATATTAAAAGAATAATAAATAATATAAAAAAATTAAAAAAAATATAGATTAGAAAAAATATACTACGTAAAGATGCATAATTTCATACTAAGAGAAAATTTTGATTCCTTACAAAAAATTTATTGCATTTTTTTTTATTCCTTTCCTGTTTACATGTATGAAGAAAAAGCATATTTTAGAGTTAATCATACAACATAATTATTAAAAAATTTAACAAAAAATTGCAAAAAAAAAAATATATAGAATGTATAAAAAACATAAAATGTAAACAAAAATAAAATGAAATAACAAGTAATTATAATCATATATAATTAAAATAAACAAATTTAAAAAATTAAAAAAAAATATATTAAATAAGATAATAATAAGAAAAACACAATAAGGAAATAATATTATCTAAAAAAAAAAGTATTACTACATAAAAAAAAAAAATTTCATTATTTCTCCCCCTACACCATATGACATATTTCATACAGCATTTTTGTTTTTGATAAAATATTTAATTTTATTTAAAAAATACAGGTTTTACAAATACTTTTTTTTTTTATTTTTCTTAATTATAATTGTTAGTATCATATTTTATAAATTTTTTAATTTTTCAAAAAGTATATTTTTATTATTATTTACTCTTATGGAATATATTCCAAATTAAACATGAAAAAAAAAAAAAAAAAATAAATCAATACATAAATGGTATACATGTACATATATGTTACGTGATTTTTTTTTTTCATAGCAATATTTAATTTTTTTTTTTTTTTTTTTTTTTTTTTTTGAATAAGATTAAAAAGTTAAAAGAGTTTTATTATTTTTCAGTTATATTTGTTTTTTTAATTAAATTTTTTAATATTTCTTTATAGAAAATTTTTTGTAGATTAAAAAAATAAAAAATA